ATGTCTTATTTTCACTTAAATACTCTATGGAAGCATCTACTTAGTCACCAAAAACCTCGATTCTTTAGCTATCAATTACAGGTGTCCACAAGTGCGATATTAAGAAACTGTTTTGGCTGATGCATGCCATGGACAACCAGTGTCACATTGACAACTGGTCATCAGTGCCTTTAAAACCAATCAAATTCAGAGAACCATTTGGCTCTCCTGGAATTATTTCTGTTTTAGAGTTTGACCAGAGAAGAGCAAAACCAGTATGAGTCATATGCAATAAGAGATTTATTTTAGGGGTTAGACCTTATGAAATTGTGGGAGCTGGCAAAGTTGCTTTTGTGCCTGGGCTTGGACCTAAAAATGCTGTAATTGATAGGGCTTACAGTCAAGACAGGAAAGCTGGACATGAAGTGGGGACAAGCAGGGACAAAATGGAACCCACTAAGACAAACTGGACCCCCTGAGCATAAACTAGACTGTGCCATCTGTCTTTACCACCTACATTGATGATGCAGGAGGCATGGTGCTGCACAGGCATCTGGCCCAAGACTCAGAGACACTGAAGAAGAAGGTCCAGCAGTTGCTGAAAGAGCTCCACACCTGGCCACTGCCCCACTCCAAGGTGAGCCAGCAGGTTAGCAACGATGTGCATGAGCTGCCATAGCACCTCATGTCCTATACTAACCTTTATTTTTATTTTACTTTATTTTCAGTGAAGTCCTAACAGGATTTCTTTTAATATATTTTATTGATTTTACAGAGAGGAAGGGAGCAGGATAGAGAGTTAGAAAATCGATGAGAGAGAAACATCAATCAGTTAGTTGCCTTCTGCATGCCCCCTACTGGGGATCAAGCCCACAACCAAGGTACATGCCCTTGACCAGAATGGAATCTGGGACTCTTCAGTCTGCAAACTGATGCTCTATCCATTGAGCCAAACCGGTTAGGGCCTATACTAACCTTTAGAATGTAATACTTGCTGCTTCACTTCCGCCTTTGAAATCTTACACAAATTTCCCCTGTGGCCAATCTTCACCCAGAACTGTATTGTGGAGATAAACAGAATTTGAGATGCTAGAAAGATAGAACATCCGAGTGGAACTTTCCAACAAGCATTTGTAAACTTAGAGCTAGAGGTCAAGTTTGCATTTAGGATTATCCCTTACATGGGGAATCACAAGAAAATCCTTAAATAATTCCTACCACAGCCAAACCGGTTTGGCTCAGTGGATAGAGCGTCGGCCCGGGGACTGAAAGGTCCCAGGTTCGATTCTGGTCAAGGGCGTGTGCCTTGGTTGCGGGCACATCCCCAGTGGGAGGTGTGCGGGAGGCAGCTGGTCGATGTTTCTCTCTCATCGATGTTTCTAACTCTCTATCCCTCTCCCTTCCTCTCTGTAAAAAAATCAATAAAATATATATTTAAAAAATAATAATAATAATAATTCCTACCATAGCCATGTAATGGAGGGATATAATAAATTATGGAAAGGAGACTAAAGTCCCTTTTCATACCTGCCCTGAATAAAAAAGAATAATGTCACTTAGTTGTTGTCTTTTCTTTTTATTAGAAATCTTGTTTGCTTTTTA